TTGTGATATCAATATATTGTTATTGATTAAAGTCTCTACCTAGATTCAATCTGATTAAATAAGGCTCATCAAACATTTAGCGAAGGTGGTGCTGAGAATGCCGAATGGCGACAAATTTTCAGTATTGAACGGAATTGGATCATTTTTGGACTGATAGTCCTTTTAGATAATCAATAATCGCTATTCAGCGTAACGTTTTTTAACAAAGGGTGTTAATAAAATGCAACATGGTGTAAGTTGGTGTTTGAGTGCTAAATTATGTGATCTGAACCGATATAAGTTAAAACAGGTTGTTAGCCAGGTTTTTACAGTGTTAATTACTATCCTTCTATTTAACTATATTTATTTCCGCCATAACACCTCTTATTCTCATAAAACATAATAAATTTTAAGATGCAACATTTTTAAACAGATATCTTATCACATTTCATTCTTGTAGAATATGCAATGATTGTTATACTCTATAAATCCAATGGATAGTAGTTCAGACAAGGACTTATTTCAACAGAGATAAACTATAACTCGCCTACTATAAAATATTAGATTTAAGGGCTGAAAATTGATATAAAGCAAAGTGTTGAATCTGGGTTTTGTCACTAAAATCTATCAACAGAATAAAGAATCATATTCTAAGATTCAATGCATGCCACAGTTTATAAATATGAATACGAACTGAAAAGGGGTTTAACAGCCTACTTTTCTGCACCGAACAGGCTAATGAAGACGGAAAATATGAATACATATTAATTTTAATTATATGGACGAATTATAAAATGTGTCAATATAATCTAGCTGGTGTTCAGTTAGAGTTTTGGTGTTAAATTGTTAGAACTTTACCGCAATGTATGATTAACTGGTTGATTTTACAACCTAAGTGGTAATTAATTACTACTGTTTTACATAAATTACTGTAATAAAACATAAATTATTGCAACTTTTATATTTTAAACTTGAGTAATCAGAAAGTAGATTTTACTTACATGTGTGCATTGTATTTTACATATTTTAAGCATATTTTCTATATAATTTTTATTTATTTACAAGTTTTTTACCAATTTAAAGATGAATTGGCGAGGTCTTTATCGGTTGTTAAAAATTGAATTTCAATTTGATTTCTCATTTGACCAAGTACAGTTTAAATTGGGGACATTGAGATTTGATGCGCTGCGTGTATAGGCAACCAAAAGCCTTTGGGTATAGGCTACTGTGGAACAATTAATTAAACAAAACTGCGAACCAGATTGCAGGGATCAAGCTTGACAGTCTTTGTAGAATTATAGAAGGAGACACCAGTCTTATAAATAAACACGACTGCTTCATGAGCGTGTTATTTATTTCAACTATAACCCCTCAGTCTAAATTTCTCTGTTTTTATTTGTGTTTGAACGTAACTATTACCCGTGTTGTTGTGTAAATCTATTGACCGTTGTACGTCGCCATTACGATAATCGTGATTCGATACAAATACTAGAATTTATATCACGACACGAAACATAATAGGTCGTAAGGTCAATATTAAATATTAGAGAATCATCTATTTGGCATTGGATAACTAACTTTGCTTTTCTTATTTGTATTCTAACTAGTTGCACTCAATAGTGTATCGTTTTGTTCGCAGATGTTCAAAAAACGAGTTAGGGAGCTTTACAATTGCATTCTTAATGGCAACTGTTTACTTGTATAAACAAATATAAACAATTACAAACAAATACTAGGGACGGACATACTGGTTACTCCACTTAACCAAAGATTACACTACCCTCTCCTTTCTGACGTATCTAACATTCTTATCTCTTGTGAAAAATACTTTAAACCAAGATCAGTCGGAATGGTGTCAAATTTAGAAAAAAATGAGAATTATGCCTGTGATTTAGTGGAGATTGAATAATGTTTCTTCGGGGATAAAACAATAACAATGACCGCATTACTGAACGGAAAATAACACAAACGGATTTGTCTTAACTATTTTACGATATATACTAATTTCAATTTACAATCGCTTAAAAAGTATGAGTTATCATCAATAACAACCCTTCATAGAAAGCGCCGATATTCATTCGCCATTTTGAAAATAAAAAATTAATTTACATTTTTCAATAAATGGCCATATTTTTCAATAAGGGACGAAATACTTTGTATAAAAATATGAAAAGTCCAAATAAGCTAGCTTTGCAAAACAAATTAATGCCTATCATATTCACTATTATGCATAATGATCTTCACTTTAAGATTTATTCAATAAAATATTAGTTCCCTTATAACGAAGGCTATGTCATTACATAGATAAATGAAAATATGACCAATCTCGTCATATAATACAATATTAGTCTTTTGTGGGGATAGTCTTCAATACGTCTGCATTGAAACGTAACGGGACACAACGAACAATGCGGAAAAATATAATAATAATTTTTTACATTTGCATAATTTTAATATTAAAAAATTCATTCTTGCTGTATATGCGTTTCAATACCTTCCTCCATGTTTCTTTTCATTTCGTTTCGGTTTATCTACGGGTTTTACAGCCATCTTCCCAATTAACTACTAATTAATTACACTGCTTATTGCTACACTAAATAGAACAAAATGTCCTAATACTCAATGTGAAATCTGGATCGACCAAGATCAATGTCATAAACTCGGTTATACAAGGCTGTAAATTGAGAGCTAATTCGGAACAGGCAGACGATAATTTTCGGATCACTTGTCTGTTTGACGGAAGGCAACGTATGGAAACATTGACATGAAAGTTAAAATTCAACTCATCTTTGAGTGTTTTACAGATTTGAGTGGGTTTCACTATCACACTAAAGTGCACACTTGATATATCACTCATAGGATTCAGATCACATCAAAGGGTTACTCAATTTACCTATCGCGTTAAAAGTGGAAGAAAAGGCATGTAGATATATACATAAGAAACTACCGTTTCTCACATAAACTACTTATATAGAAATAGTAAATCAACTTAACATATAGTAATAAATATAGTGGTCTGCCCTTAAGTAGATTATCCATCAGCAAAGAAGAAAAACCAACGCCTTAACATGTAGACGAACGTAAAACATTCATTCATTCATAAATCACTTATATGACTTATGTCATATTTAAGCCATATTTCAATTTACACGTCCATTAAAATTTGTAATAGAATACGCATAATGATTTGAATCTCTATATATAATTCATGTATTATAAATTATATCCTGGTGGATTTCCATTAATTCCATTATAGTAGTTCGATGAATTATGTATCTCAAACCAATAACCATTCATTATCATCACGTTGTTTCGCCGGTTTCATAATAAGCCGATGTCAGAAATATTCATATTTGCCATATCAAATATAAATAAATCTCAATGATACCCACGGTTCAATTTATTATTTTACTTTTCCCAAGGTCAGCGACTTAAGATATATCCTCAAATTTAGCTTTCTTGACTCTTTAGTTATCATATTTCATATTGCACGACAGAAAAAATGATTTTGAATAACCGAGTTTTTATATTATTTATAATTTTAAATTAATTTCTGATTTGATGTTTAAATAACTCAATTAATTCAAAGACATTATTCCATCTTTAATGTTCGCGAATTATATATACATAAGGCAGTGTCTCCAACTGAAGTGCGATCAAAGGACATGTTATTGCAAAATTAAAAGCATATTCCCCAAGGCTTCAATTCAATTACATTTTTTTATCACTTGTTTCGATCAATTTGACGAGATCGGGAAAACCCTTTTAGATTAAAATTAAAAAGATAAAATCTTTGATGTTTGCATATTCTGGTATTCATTAACTAAGATTCACGAATTCTAGGAGTTTCCCTTTTTTTAAATTAAAGGGATTAAGACAACAGTTCTGCATATCGAGCTTTTCATAGTAAAAATCCTGTCTCTGATGTTACTCGTTCAGTATGTCTGATCTCCAGGTGAATGAAAACAATGGGCGGGGCTTTAGTCATGAGATCACGTGCTTAATTTATCCGGCTTTAGGAGAAATTCTAAACCATTTTTTTCCATCAAATTTTGTCTTACAATTGTGTACTATTATTTCTCTAAACAGTTAATGTGGGTTTTCTATAAGTTGAAAGAGACGGCTTTTTTTTATTATTTTTAGGATTTAGGAGTAGGGCGAGTAACGTCACAAAAACTAGAAAATATAACAAAACTCAAAAATTGGTTTATTTTCTGTAAGACCCATTTGTTCCTACCTACTTATGCAACGCAAGCAAAATGTATTTTGAGATGCATATGTAATTTTTAAACCATTATGTTAAGACCCAATATAATGAAAATACATGAAGCGGGCAAAACGCAATATGATATTATTTGGATTTCTACGTAAATGTAGTAATACATTTGGTATATTCAGCACAACTCTCACTTTATGACATCTATATGTAAATTTCTTAATATTTACACTAAAATTTTGTATAGGAACGAGTATAAAAGTTGACAGTGGTTCACTCGGTACACCAGGATTTTAAATACACCATGTAAACTATTCTCGTATATACATATATACAAGTTCCTTATAGTTTCCAGTTCTAATATTACGTCGCATACAGATGTAGAAAATTCCAACTAGAATATTTTTTCCCGGGGGTGATCGTACTCAGTTTGAAGACTTCAAAGACAGTACCTGATACCCCCAACTATAGTTAAACGGCAAAAGTAAATCGGGTCGGCTTTAGGCTTATTCCTATATTTTGTTTATTTTTCTGCTATTATCTTTAAATTGTTAGCGGCCACACCGCAATTAGCTCCAGGAGTCATCTATTAGTGTTATTCCCACTCTTTCCGCCTTGTCGTTTACAGTAATTCACGTCTTCACGACATTGCCCAGCACACATACAACGTTGGAGATAACGCGTCTCGCCTGATTGCGCGGCAGCTCGCGCTGGAGGCGTGGCCATCATAAATCTGTCTCATTTGCATACTTGTCAATAAGCACTAGCTGGGAGGGTATCAAAGCCATACTCAGTCCTAAGTAATTCATTACAACAGCTAGCTCTCTAGATGTTCACATTCATTCAATCGAGCATTTATAAACTTGGAATCTACTTTTACGGAATTGAATTGGAAGTTGTTTGAGAAGTTGTGAGGACTTTATGTGTACATTAATTGTTATCTTTGTTTAGTCAATACTCACTATAGTTGATATATTTACTAAAGACAATCATGAGTGATGACGAGAGCAGATCCCCTTCCCCTGTTGTGAAAGAGGAGGATATGAAGGGTGCAACGAAGAAAAGTACCTTGCCCACAGATGATGTCAAATTTGCATCTCAGATTCAGGATGCTGTGTGTCATGTCTTGAAAGGTTACGACTGGTCTTTGGTAACAACCCCTGCCAGGGCCGGGGGAGACAAACGTAAACCACATATCAAGAGACCCATGAATGCTTTCATGGTTTGGGCCCAAGCCGCTAGAAGAAAATTAGCCGACCAATACCCACATCTTCATAATGCTGAACTTAGCAAAACTCTTGGAAAATTATGGAGGTAAGTGCTGAAGCTAGATTTTATTTTAACGTTTCGTTAACACCCCCCAAAAAAACATTAATGTTGATGAAAACTGATGCTAAACACGTGGTTATGTTATGCGACAAGGAGTTGCCTTCATTCCTTCTCGTTTTATGATAGCTGTCAATACAAAGCGTTGACCTTATTATATAAAAAGTTTATAACTACTGCCCTATTAGCCCTTTCTAAATTCAATTCTATGGTTTGTTTTCATTTTGAGGAAGTTGTAGTTATCGCTGACCTGCTACGGATAACTGTCACATAATCTGCTAAAACCCGCAGACTATTTCGAAACACATTAGCACATGTAGAAGTGTACTCGAAAACATGTAATAAATTTATACACAGAAGAATTGCCATAGTATACACAGCCCCAGACCCAAGTCATAGACTTTACAGTATTCAAATTAAGTTTAATATTTTGGTTGTCCCCGGCGCTTAATTTTATTTTCAAATACTAATTTATTTCAAAATCCGCTGTTTCTGATGCAATGTTTACACCAACCTTCAATTTATATTAAGTGGTATAATAAATCTACACTTCTCTATTCACCAAATTATAAATAATATACCACTCGAAATTTTCTTGACCCGAATGAAGCTCTTCAAATTTCCGAGTATTTGCAATTTGCCCAAGTGAGCTATATATCAAACCCTGCAGATTTATTGTCCCTAAGAAACTAAAAAGAGTCATTTATTTACACCTCCCTAGTACGGAAACATTTAAGATGATATATTATTACCACACACGAAATATTAATAATTCATTTGAAGTGACATTGATGATAATTTGACAGTAAAGCAAACAAATTTATAAACAAATGATTGCATAATTGAAATTTTCGTAGTTGCGTCTATTAAAATTCAGTTATTTCATCATTAAATTTTACGGATTTCTATCAAGATTATTGTCATTATAATATTGCGAACAGGGCGCTTGTTACACTAAATGATTTCATCCCTCCGTAAGATATTTTTTATAGTTAAATTATTCTTAAAAATGTCTTCATTCGTTTCTTCTGAAAACTATGACGTCAATATAGTCACATATACATTAGGTCAAAAAACCTTTTTATAACGCTCTGTAACATTTTTATAGACATTTTGACATATGTAACTCTGATGATAATAAACTGCACACACGTGTAGGACATTTTGATCTTAGTTGGTGGGATTAATTGTCGTAAACACGAATGGAAACTTAAATATATATTCCATTACACAATCAAAATTTGTTTCGTTAATTGATAGGTAAATATGTAATAATCAGAGACCTTATCTTATGTATCATGTTAAGACGTAAAGATATTCATTATATATTTAAGTTGAACTGTACGACTTTCTCCCATGATGTTTAACGTCCTACTTTTCTACACCAACCGGACTATTCTAAAATATTGAATGGATATTTTGAATATAATCGGACGAAAGCATTAATTTGTGATGACCACAGAATAGCAAAATGAAGTAAATTAAAAGCGAGCTGACCCTTAAGCCAATAATCACGCGTGACAGTGTCCTCGTATTTCGCTGTCCTGCATAAATATTTCACTGTCTGCCTTTCACTTTTGAATTTTATTGAAAATATAGATGTAAAAGTTAATGATGTATGGATAATCTGTGGCCCCCAGGGCAGAATATTACTACATTTAGCGATGCTTGTCAATTCTGTCCTGACACTTGCCCACGGCACGTACATTACTCATTCGTCTGCTCTTTTAATTTGTGTGATTTGGATTAAGATATTATCTTATACAACTTTCCTTTCATTCAATTTAACCCTCTTTAGCTAATCAGCAACATCTTACCCCGACAATATCATTGATACATCACATAGATATACAACGTCTCAGACGCTCGCCTTGCTCATCCCCGCGTTTAGATGCCTTTCAATAATTCTATTTATTTGTTATTAAAACATTACGTTCGCTACGCATTGCTAATTATTGTTCGTGAATATGTCCATAAATTATAATGTTTTGAAGAAGAAAACGTCATATACGAAATCCGAAATTTTGTAGTATGTTGACCCAGTGAACTTGTATAAAGTTAACTCTATACTATCAAGATTTATGGATCTATGTAGCAGAAAGTCGACTTTTATTTTATGTGGTTATTGTCGGTACATAAGTGAGTTACGGTTGAGTGCTGAAGTTTGGATGTTACACTTGTTATACACGCGCCACGGGGGTTAGGATAGGAATCACGGACGAATGCTTGGGTCGATGGTCTGATGCGTATAGAAATGGCGGGGAGAAAGTGTCATCTCTATCAATATAGAAGATAAATGACCTTATATATCATATATAAAGTGATATATACCTGCTGAAATATCATTTAATATTTAAATACTATAATCTAACGCACACCGGGCTCCAAGATCTTCTTGTATACATTTATAAGGGTAGAGCAATTACGAGATTAATAGTACCGTCTAAAGTAATATAATTTAAATAAACATTTCATGTCTCGTAAACAAAATTTATAATCAAATTACGGTTTCGAAAAAATGGAAATCGTTAAAGAACTAAATTTGGTGAATGTGTAGTTAATTTAGTTGATTGCGTAAATTAGTATTGTTCTTATCTGTTCATCGGTAAGCATTGATTAGATACAGATGATAACAAGTTGTTTATATGCTAGTTATCTCTGTATGGTGTGATATTAAATACAGATACTGCCCTAAACTACAACCGAGGACCCATAAAAATTAACCATTCGTTTTGTCAGTTTACCACTTTACGACGTCAAACTTCCCATTACACTAACCCAGTGACATGTTCGTGTTAAACAAAGCGTAAATCTTTACATAAAGTTACAACACTTGAAGTCGTTTGGAGTTACTTGATCTTTAATATTAATAACATCCAGACATAATCTATAAAAACTTCTAATTACTTATTCATATGTTTTAAAAGAAAAAGCTCCCAACTTGATGTAGACAAATTTGGTAAAGTGTGAAACCTGTGAATACACTTGGAATGAATAAGAAACACTTGTTGAAAATTAACGCACTTGGTATAGGAATTCCATGCGATTTGTTTTTTTAAATTCTAAACTTAACAAGATATCTGTGAATGCCATAGACTCGATTCCTGAAAAAAAAATCTAGTTAAAGTTTGGCATTAGATTTGTCTTATCTTTTATTAATAATCTTGTCAAGGCGACGAAATTCCAACAGAGATAATGTAAGTTTAATTCAGTCTCATGTAGTTTCATGTAGAAATGTCAGGGAGATCGTGTTAAAAGTGGAATATTTCTCAGCAAGAATAAAACTGGGATTTATTAATATACAGACGCTATAGCATTTGTCAACCTTATTTTTGCGTTTAAGTAATAAATGGCATGTGTGATATCTGTATTGAAATCAGTGTCGCCCCCATTACATTTATTATGATATTGCCGAGTTATTGGTAGCGATTCGGCTGGTATACTTTGTGGTACGTGGTTTAAAGCATTGCAGGAATATTTCTCCGACAGTATAGTTAAGAGAGTTTTTCCTCCCAGATATCTGATAATAGTCAAATGTTGAGATGGTCGTGGCTTCTAGACTGATAACCAGTGTTTAAAGCCAGACAAGGTCCGACCCTGGTTTAATATCTTACAAACCTGTAGTTGATAAACTTATTTTTTTAAAAAAGAAAAAACTCAGCGTGGGAATTTGCATAAACTTTATATATTTTATTGTGATTTATTAATACACTTCTCAAAATTAGAAACTTTCTTTCAAAGAATACTTTGAAACTACACTGAACTACATTAGCGGAGCGAAAGTGATAGATAGATTATTTTGACTGACAGGATGGTTATTTCTTTTCTAAACTGCATAGTTAGGTCTTTAAGCTTAAAGATAAATCTTGAGTGGGTTTGAAACGATGAACAAATAATAAATTCTAATGTCGAAATACAATGCGTATTTTGAAGTACTGAGATTCAATTCTTGCATTAATTACTTGTTCAATTCAAGTGATATAAGACTTTTTTGTACTCTCAAATCACGACTTGCGGTAAATAAAAATCTTTAGGTTATCTCGCCTTTGAAGACAGTCGAATTTGAACATATTCAATATTCAACAACATGCGTGGTATTGTCAAAGGGATACCAACGTCAGATTTCAAAATGCTATATTTAATAAAATGGTTTAAGTGGCTTTATGAAGATCGTGGTTTCTCTAAGTTGGGTGTTATTATTGAGTATTTGTCTGAACTGGGCAAGACGTAATCCCCCCGCCTTAATTCGTATAATAAAGCGATGATACAACGTGACCAATCACCTCCTTGTATCAAACCGTAAAACGTGTCACTCAATTAAGATAAAATATCAACATTTCTTTTTAGTAGGAAGATTAATCCCAAGTCAAGTTGTCTAATCAAGGTGGCAATAGCACACGAAAGAAAATTTAGCGTCTGTAGCGTAACACAATTTAACAATTTCTCTTTAAGTGATGAACAAACTCCTGTCCCGTGACAAGAAGTGTATTAAGAGGACACCGAGAGCGGATGTTAGGCTTGATAGCGTATTTGTAACACATTGCCAGACCTAACATCATGGTGCCAGACTAGTTAGGGCACTGGCCACGACCCCCTTAGCTGCCCAATTCCTTTCGCACCCCCTCGACATCATTTTAGTCAAAGGATCGCGGTTTTCAGGTAAAGTTCAGAACACGATATAGCACCGAAAGTTAGCGTCCCCAGGAAGGTCGAGGATATCAAATATTTGGTGTTAGGTTTTGCAGTGGAGACCTAACACAAGATCTATAAGACAATTACAATACGTTAGGTCAGGATCAGGCAGGTATCACATTTCAAATCCATGGATGCTGGAAATTGCAAATGTAATATCTTTTAGGGATGGCATTTAATTGTGTATCTAGAGCACACGTTTTAGCACTGAGTTCCTCGAATTTAAAGTTCGCTTTGACCTTCGATGGGAATAGATATGAACGTATAAATGTTTGCTGAACTAATATTGGTGATGATTGGTCGCAAAGTTTTTAGATAAATATGAGTATTTGGATGTAGAAAATATATATCGAGATGCAACATTACATGAACCTAATGAACTGTTGACAAGATACCTTAGGAATTCAGACGGAATGGGTACGTTCGGACATACGTGATGTTATAAGCTCTTCAGTTTGAAGATGCAGGAATTGCCTTTTACGTTAACAGGACGTACGACAGTAATATGGCGTATGTTAGTGATCATTGCCCTTGGTTTCCGAATGTCTTTCCTGTTAACTGAAAATAGTCTAGTCATCTGACTTTGAATTTTCGGTGGGAGAAAAGACTTTGGCTTTGCTATCCTTTAAGTATGTATATCCTGTATAATAGAGATTTTTGATAGTTAAGGAAATAATAATAATCTATATTTACAGGGAAGGTCATTCCGGTGTAGAAAATCATTAATGTATTTCCACATATACCATTTATATTTTAATCGTTTGGTCTAATAGTCATGCACGGAAATAATGATTTTAATTGAACGTGGCAAACGGCTAGGTCTATTTTTGTTAAGGCCAACTTAATTTTCGTCAAGGTCGCCGAGATGTAAATAAGGTTAGGATACGTCATTGTTGGCGAGATTGTATGTTAGGGATAGGGTAAGCGTTATGGCTAGCTCAAGGGTTAGGGTTGGGACTTATCAAATAGATCTAATCATGAGACACCAATGAACTAGTACTTGACATTTTGAATAGTGTGACGGACATGTATAATATCAATAAGAACACACACAAACAAAAAAACCACAAAAAACAACAACTATGTGTCGGACAAAACCACAGGCACCAAACTGCTTCTACTGAGTATTTATTAGTTAGTTCAAACGGATTGGTGATCATTAAACACCGTATATAAATCTCTTAAATTCCTTACTGTCTGTATCACTGTATCATTAAAATAAAGTGTTCTGAAGAATTTGACGGGGTTTTTTTTCTGATGAAAATATGTACACGCTGTCCCCTACTTACCCCCAAAAGCATACACACCCACACGCAAGCGAGACAAAGACGCGAGGCAAAATTTGTTGATGGGATATTAATTGTGAATTTGTCACGTTTTGTCATTAAGCAAATGAAGTCAGAACAAGACTGCTAGTTTGTCGACACTTTTCTTTACAGCATCGCTCGTGCCAACTCGTTATTCTGCGGTTAAATCATGTTCCCAAAACTTTACTTTTCACTGAAAGGGCCAGTTGTGGGTCAACTGAGAAACTGTGTCCGGTAAACATAAATTTCTTTGAATTTTGCCGCTTTCAGAAAAATGTTACAATAACCGCGGGCCATCAGCAACGACAGGACAGCCAGGTTGTTGTTGTTACGTAAGAAGCTAGCGGGGGATTAATAGTCACTGGGTGTTTGTAGTGACAGGCTTACTATGTTTATAATGAAGGTGAGCTCCAGTTCATCTTCCGGTCAACATTTTCTCGCTTCCAAGTTTGGGTATCAAAAGTATCGTTGGTTTTAAGACCGTACCTTTAGGTTTAAATGTCACTATTCAGTCAAATATAACTTTCTATCGAATTCGTTAGATTCTATTTCCTGTCCTTATTGGGTGTGGGTGTGTATGAGTGGTGGTGGTGGTGATGGTGGCGAGGCGCTACCCCATCCTTTATAAATATATCAAGCTACATGGGTATCATCATTATTCCGAAAATATTAGACTAAGGCCAATTAAGTAGCAGGTGATTTATCATAAACATAATGTTATTGTCAATCTGTACAAAATATTAAATGTTATTATGTATAAAGTAAGAAAACATAAACACCATGGGGCAATCCTTTTCTACCAATATTTTCCCATAAAATCCTAAACTAAATACATAAACATGTATATCAAGCTACGTGCTATTTCATATATTCAATAATAAAAGATTTCGCCTTGTTAATTCAAATCCATATTAATAACATGTTGATTTTTCTCGTTGGGCTTAACTATGAAACACCTCACGAAACCGCTCAAAAGAGAAATAAATTTAGAGCTGTATTTTGGCATGAAAAAACGATAGAAAAGACGTTGTTTAAATAGGTAAAAGGTATGGGAAAAGTCAGAGTTAAGTACAAAATTAATTTATAAATGCCGTTTTCTCACGGCCGTGCCTAATAAATGCTTTGGTGTAAGTCTTACCTTCGCCGATTAATTTTAAGTTGGATTTAGCCAGATGATAGATAAAGAGTAAATAGGACCCCATGATTTATGGATGTTTGGGTAGAATTCAATATTAATATCTTTTGTTAGACGATATGTGGCTTACGGTTGTTTAGAGGTAGAAGTTTAGCTTTAATACCTTTCAGCCATTGTTAAGAGGGAAGTTGGGAATTAATCACCCACCGCCTCCTCAAACAAAGCCCACCACAATCATTAGTTTTAGAGAAAATGTAAAAAGGCATGTGAAATTACTTCCTTCTAATTATAGACCCCCTTTCAAAAAACATATGTATTTATTATTGGGCATTCTTCACAATTAGACAACAATAGTCTGAAAATAACTTAGAAAATATCCCGGTAACTTTCCAGATTTTCATATTAGCATTAATGAAAAAAGGCTTCCTCGCTAAAAGGGAATACGTGACAGAACCCGACATTTGAAAAATGAAAAAAATGAGCAACAAAATAATGATGATAGACTGTTGAAATTAGTAATTGTATTTCGTCTCTGGTCTGTCGCCTTCAACCATTGTTATCTTAAGAACAGGTTTGAATAAATCTTGCAAGCGTCCTAGCTTAGACGACCGAATGTTCTATTTTATTATAATATATTGGATGAAATTACTTTAAGATGTATTCATAAAATGAACACAATGCGAAGTAGTTTATTTTATCATACGATTCGAGTTTTATATCTCTTTGCTCACTAGTTATGTTAGCTAACCCCAAACACGACCCCCTTTGCAACAGCTTTTGTAAATTTTTGTCGTTAGGATCACTTTCCTTGCCAGATAAAAGAATTGGCGTCCTTTACAGAGTCGGACAGGAAACGTGTTTCCAGTTCAAAATGTGACTTAGAATGCAATACTATCCTTTTAAATGCCGAATAATAGTTTTATGTGGATAAATATGAATTTATTTGGTTTGATATGGATATTTTTTTTCTTAATGTTTTTGAAGAATTAAGAATTTTCTCAAACACTTACCACCGGCTGAGTTTCAGTATCAAATTTGTTGTTAAAACAAGGAACAAAAGTGACAGAATATCTTCTAAGAGATTTCATTGTTTTTATTTGGATAACGCCAAATTTGTTTTTTGAGGTAATAGCATAGGGATTAAAATATCTGTCCATCTTCAGGTAGACATTGGATGCCACTAATATTTTGTTGATGGTTTACGTGTAAATCGGCGCGTTCAAAAGCTGTGTTACATGTCGGTCGGACACCTTACACCGTCCTATCAGATTCTCAGTTCACCCTATAATAAAAACAAATCAGACTTTTATTCATAAGATTCTGAAAGTTAAAGTGAAATGATCTCAGGTGGCGGTGTTCTAGTTGCATTTATAAAAAAGTATGGGTGTGTGGTCGTTTTCTCACCACGAGCTCTTTGTAACACGACCGCTATAGTAATAATGGCTTACAATTCAACAGAAAAAAATTACCTTTTGAAATAAAAAATATATAATATAACATACTATGTAACTTTTTGTTGGAATCATCTTACACAACTGTCTCTACCGAATACTATTTGAGAAATAAATTATAACGAGAGACTAAACGTGTTTATAATTTTCAGGAAAGAAAAAAAAAGAGGGCAACATTCCTTCACCCTTAGGCTTGACTCACAAATTTAACAAAATTCAAATTCTCCAAACGTCCACATCAAAACGCGAACATGCAAACTACTCGTTTCTTTTCCAATAAAATATCTAAATTATTTCTTCCACATGCACGCTGGTGGATTTCTTGCGGTCAAAAATACTTTCTAGTTGAACTGAAGGTCAAACTTATATTTGGATTAGCAGACAAGACCATCAAGCGGAAGTTCTTAAGGCAAAAACTTTGCGGCTGTTAAAAAACATAATGACAGTTTTGGTGTGTGTCGAATGTTATTCTTATTTTTTCCGGAATTGAAAACGCTAAAAGTCTTGAAGACAACGCCTGGATACCAACATTCCAGAAATATGTATATACGTGTAGAACTAGTTAAGAAAATTGTTATATTTAGGAATTTGCGAAGTTTGCCTCATCTGAAATCTGGTTATGTTTGCAGTAAGATTTAACAACACTGTTTACAAAATGACATGCATGTGTCGAATTTGAACAGTTGAGGCGTAGGATGATGAACGCTAAGAAGAGTTGTTCCTCGCTAATCTGTGTTCAGCTACTTGTTTCTGACAGTTAATCCTGGATTAGAAGAAGGTTAATCTGTAAACCAAGATGTATTTCCCCTCCGTTGTAAAGGATGAGAAACAAGAGCAATACACTTTCCCATTCCTCCCACGGGGTTTTATGAAGCTTTAGCCACTGAAGGTGCAGTGAGATTTAAACCCAGAGCTTCAATCTGCTGTACTTATTTTGCTAGTTAATTTAGTTGACCAACAACCGGCATTATCAAATATCAAATCTTTAAAACATATTTTAACTAAATCAAAATTTCTTATTTCAGACTTTTAAATGAAGACGAGAAGAAGCCGTTTGTCGAGGAAGCTGAACGACTACGAGTACAGCACAAAAAAGATTACCCGGATTACAAATACCAACCACGTCGCCGTAAGCCGCTAAAAGGACAACAACAAGGCAATGATAATAATAGTCCTTTACCACATGGGACCATGTACAAACCCCTTGGAGAATGTTCCTCGCCTAGTGATGATTGCTCCAGTGAATGTTCGAGTCAACCCGGAGGATCAAACGGCCCTCCAACACCACCAGCCACACCTAACCAACACGAAGCCTTAAACCTAAAATGTATATATGATAGAAAGGCTCGTATGATGGCAGGTAAGACCAGTCATATTATTCTTCTATCTAGCTTCGTATTGTAAAAATATAACATTCTATAATGGCGATATTGATTTTAGAAGACGCATACTTTATGTCGTGTCCTAGACGGCAAATGACCAATAATTAATAAATCCTTTCTTCGTTTTTTTCAGCTCATGGTCACTCTGGTACACCAGGAATCGATTTCAGCCATGTGGATTTACGAGATTTAAGTTCAGAAGTAGTAGATCCTTTTGATGATCTTGATCAGTATCTACCACCATCTGTCCATCCTATCACATCTCAAAGTTCATCGGCACATTACAGCCAGTACGCCAACCAACATAACGTACCATCCACAGCAGCAACTAGTTGGACAGCATCTTACCGTGTAACAACAGCCAGTGGATGTAATCAGCCACCCTATATACCAAACGGATCGACCAACAATACCGTCTCCTCCAGCTCATATGACTCCAACCACTCCTCCCCTTCCCAGACACACCACGGCTCATCTCCACCTACAGCTCTAAATGCATCACCCTACAGCAGCCCACCAGAATGTAAATACAGAGATGAAGAACACAATTCTCTAATTAAATTGGAACAGTTAGCTCCTGCTCATCAACCACAAGGGTATCGATGTGATCCAAAATTCGATACTTATGATTCGCCACCAAGTAGATATAACATGGACAATCCTTTACCTTACGGAACCATGCCAAATCCGTACATGGCATCATCTGTGCAACAGATGTCCTCGACACCAGGTTACCAGTACACCATGGGACTTCACCGGCAAATGTTCAACCCTATACCCGCTGCTGTACCCGGTGAACAAAACTGGGAAAGATTTACGTGAAGTGTGTAAAGCCGCTACAGGTGGTTAGAGAGTGAACTGATCTCAGTCCCTAGCACTGCAGCATAATACCGGTGAGAGGTAGATATAGCCAGTTGTGGTGGTATCCAATTCCCTCAGCGACCAGCATAGTATTATTATATACATGAACTTAAAGTCGCAACGTCTGCAAAGTGCTGAACCCGAGTTAATACTACGTTGTGAGAACGTGTTACCTACTCATATGTGTAAAGTGTTGGATCCGAACAATTTATACTATCTATATGGAGAATTAAGTATTACAGACTATTTAAAAGTCGTTTATAGTTTTCTTCTTAGTGTCTCTTGTATAAAATTTATCAACTTTCTGTGCCTTTAAAAGTATATTATATTTTTGTGTATATATTATCATATATGAACATCTTCCATCCAGTATATTTTGTAAAAGAAATACGTATTTTTCTATGTTTTCTTGTTATTCCACGAGTTCATATGATATTAACACCATGTTATAATGGATCCAGAAATGACGCCGAAGTCGTCTCAAAAATTAACGTGCATCTAACGTGTAATAATACCCCGTTTAGTTACATCAAAAAGTATAAAAACTCATATCTGTTTTTAGAGTGACATTAAGATTACTCAAGTGATTTTACACGAAGTTAGTGTCCTTTGCGAGACGTGAAAAAATAACCCAAATAGTTGTGTGCCGTGGCCAATGACTCACGCTTGATTCTCGGCCACTGAATCATAATAGTTATGTCTTCATGAAATGCAAAGCATGCATTCAAACTGAACAAGTTTAAGGGCAAATTCCATGGCTATCATTGGGTTTATTACAACGACTCCTCTGATCTCAACACTATTGCCTTAATTAATAAGTAAACTTACTGTATTAATTATGATTTTTATATTAGAATATTAACATTTAATTACTGCTTCCTGATAGACTAAAGTTTTTTAAATAGATATTTTTTGTAGCTGTTTTTAGATAATTACTTACAAAATATTGCTATGCAAAGTAGAAGCTTCAAACAAGTATTTTAAGATCTCGAATTATTATTATTATTATTATTATATTTTATGTAATTATATTACTTATTAATATTATTAATTATTATTACTTATAATACATGTACGATAAAGACATATAAATATCATTACAGTAAAATTGTAAGAAATTCTAAAGGTTGTAACCAAATTGGAATTTCCTGTAAATAGTTTAGATTGTTGCTATCAAAATTAAAATAAACGATTTATACCTTTTATTTGCTTTATTTTAATTAAATCTGAATTGGATGCATGCGAAATGATGTGAAATGAAATGGTGCTTAACATCCTACTGTTACGCACCAATAGCAGTGTGTTATGAGGGTAATTTTGACCGAATTTTAACTGTCAAGGGTTCTTTTATCTGCAGGCCAATGTGTACACTGGACCCCAGTTTCTCCGAACGCCTCGACAGCTGTCCTTGACAGGGCCTGCGTCCTACACACCTGATAAAGGACAATCCACGCGGGAAAATCCCAAAGAACTTTGTCAGCCAACACTGGGAGCGACATCTATACCTCCAGGCCAGCGAGACAGCGGCTTACTTGCTGAGTCACCGCAGCTCCTTTTTTAGAGAAAACGGCTAAATCTATTTGTTAAGGCCAGCTCAATTTTCGTCAAGGTCGCTGAGATGTAAATAAGGTTAGGGCATGTGATTGTTGGCGAGATTGTAGGTTAGTGTAAGGGTAAGCATTAGGGCTAGTTCAAGGGTTAGGGTTGGGGATTAGCGCTAGTCCTGTTTACATCTCGTGACCTTTGACCAAACTTGAAGTTGGCCTTATCAAATAGACCTACCCAGAGGGAACAGCTGTTGATTTCAGCTCCATGTGACAGTATTTACCTACTGGGGAATGGATCCGGGTTTGGAAAATCGTGTTTATTTAATGTGACACCCGTTGCCCACAATACCGCAATCCTATACTATTCTGATTTAGTTATCTGTCCATCTTGTCTTGAGCGCATATAATTGTTTGTTCACTCAGTTAGTGAACTATTATATTTAATTATTGATACCCCAAGAAAATCAAACTAGTAGCGGTCTATATTAATTTGTTTGTACATCAGTACCATTTCGATTGAACGAAAAATATCTCATATATAATTTTTGTACCTGTGGTTTATACTTTGTATATTGTATGCTGTTCTCAAAAGACGTTTCAATGCAATAAAATTATATTCTATATATTGGCAATGGAGCAAAAGCTCATTTGGCAGTTTGAAAATGGATAGACGGAAACGTTGCTATTTGGGCGAAATTCTCCCTCTCTAGGACTAATAAAACTTAGGATTTATTAGTTTCAAAATTATCGAATTCTTTTGTTGACTAGTCTTCAAACTCCATTTTCTTTCCTTCATGCTCAAAGCGAACTTCCCCAAATTACCAGAGTAAAAGGAATGTAATGAAAGCCAAGCGCCCCTTGTCAGCTTAGTTCGATATTGTTCAACTCATTGCAAATTTGATCAATCCTAGTGAATCCCTATCTAAGAAGGATTAACCTAATTCAGATCTCATAGACATTCGGTTTAAAAGTTACAGTGTTAAAACAGGCATCATGCAAGAGTTAAATCTGCCTATTGCAGGTCTTTCTTTAGACCCGAAATGTTATATAAATCATTATTTAGACATTAATTAACTTACCAACATCATAATTAACTCTCGATGCCATCGGATGGCTGCGATATGAGTAGATTTAAATACTTTGTTTTGTGTACGATGCGGTTACCGTAAAAGTGGATAATCCAGACTTTGTTTATTATCTTAACAACGGTAGTAGTGACAATCGAGGCTACACTAAAATTGTATCGCAGATGTCTAGACTCAGAGTGAAGTAATTTGACTGAAATTTTCAGCATATTTTCATTTCATTATCCATTTTTTAACTATTATAGCGAGAACTGTCAGCTCTTTATCTAATCTTACCTAATGCTGATTTAAAGCAACATGTCCCGTATATACAAGATAACCCGCAAACTGTACCAGCGTAAGTGCAGGACCAAAGCTGTGGGTATTAGAAATTGTAACACACAAAGAAATGTGCGGGTGGAGAGATATCACTTAAACATAGATTATGCAAGCGCTAAATCTGCCTATTGCAGGTCTTTCTTTAGGCCTGAAATATTACTTAAATTATTAATTAGACATTAATTAACTTATCCAGACCATAATCAACTCTCGATGTCATCGCTAGCCTGTGATGTTCATTGGATTAGGTTCCGATTTGCTGTTCCGATTTAATCATGAAATGGATAATTGAGACTATGTTTTTATCGTACCGATTTTAGTAATGATGATCGAGGCTAGGCCGAAAATTCAATCGCTAAAATCTCGGTTCAGAGTGTATCAATTTGACTGAATTTTTCAGCAAATTCCCGTTACATTATCTAGTTTTTAACTATTATAGCGAGAACTGCCAGCTCTTTATCTAATCTCCAATAATGCATCTTTAATATTGACGGCTAGATTGTTGTTATGTAATTCAGTAAAGCAGACATAGGCTAGATATGGTGTGTAAGAAATAACATCTACATGTTTGTTGATTTGTTGAAGCGTGGGCTGTGGTCAGAGGACGTCTGGTGAGAATCTAGAAGAAATAAAGTCGCACTTTGTTCGTGTTGATGACATGATATATGAAAACATTAATATCACATGTAAACGAGCTTAGTTTCCTCCCTTCCTTCCGTTTTACATTTCTAACAAATACTGACCTATTAGGGTCAATTCTAACTCACTTCTCCGTCTCTCAGAAAGATGATATAACAATATTTTACACTTTCCCTTTTATTTATAGAATCAGTTGTTAAAAACCGTAAAGTCATAATATTATGATTCACATATTTCGAATGTAGATATATAAATATAGTTTATAACATACATACGTATATAATTAATCCTGCTACTTAGCCATTTCCGATTATCGTCGTCATGTTGAAGGCGTCATACAATTTGACATGACTTATGACCCCCCCCCCCCCCAAACTTATACTATAGTCATAACAGTTTATAGATTACATTCAGATTACTATTTATTACATTGGTACTTCGTTTGTTCCAAATACTGCCTGAATTTATCAATCCGCGTGGTTCACAATGGTGTACCAACGATGTCATCTTTCGTGAATGTTACCTTAAATTTTTTTTTTTTTAAAAAAACCGTTTTTCAAAGTCTGGACTCTGTCTTGGCGGACTTCTCTTTGAAAATATAACATATTAAAGTCAGATTATGTTTCTGAACGATTGAAGGAAATGGTAGGTTACAGCCTGTATGTTTTTATTGATAATTTCCTCGGTTTTTTAAAAAGGTAACGACGGTATTGGATTTCTTCAATTGTTCAACATAGAACTGTCCAGGAAAAATCATACACAATATTCCACAATATGCATAACCCCGTAACCTCGTATTTATATCCGGAGTACTAGACGAACTCTTCTATTCTTTATTGAATCTCAAGATTGCTTTCCGGACTTCCTTATTATTGAGGGTTTATCAAGAATATTGTACACGGATTCTTTGAATTAATAATCAGAGATTTGAACTAGGCTTCTACCTCTGCTAATTGCGGATGTAACGTAAACTAACTATATGTATGTGTACGTACATATACGTCTATGACTATTGAATAAAGGCTGTGGATAAATAAAACGTTCGAAATAATTTCGAATTATGAGCGACCGGTATTTCAGCCCAAACTGGTGATGCCAAAAACACAACCTAAATATAACCATACCAAGTCGATAAACAAACGTAAGGACCAGGAGACTTCCCAGGTATACAACTGAAAGAACAGTCACCCCGACCCTAAATATAATTTCTCCGACAAAGATATATACTATGCATACAACTTTTCACAATATTTTGAAATGGGCACATTTCGACAGAGAAATTCTAATAGTTTAAGCTCCGGTGATTGCAACTTTCTGGATTCATGCCTATTTTTATACGCCCACATTTTCATGTGGACGTATTATGCCGTCGCCCCTGTCCGTCCGGACGTCCGTCCTTCCGTCCACAATTGTTTGTGGACTCCCTACAGGTCACAATTCTTATCCGATTTCGACGAAACTTTAAATATAGGTTTATCGGATCGAAACTTCATGGATTATGGCCCCTGTTTGTACGAAAAATCAGGTTTTTAGCTTGTGGACCCTATAGAGGTCACAATTTTTATCCGATTTTGTTGAAACTTGAAATGTAAGTTTATAACCCAAAGATCTCAGTTCCTTTCGATATTTGCGCATATCGGACAGTAACTTCCTGAATTATGGCCCCTGATTGTACGAAAAATCACGTTTTTAGCTTGTGGACCCTGTAGAAGTCATAATTTTTATCCGATTTAAAAAACCGTTGCATTATATCACCGTTACACCCTAAGGATGACTGAGTTCGAATTTCCTGAAAATCGGCCCAAAATTGACAGACAAAATGGCCGCCGTTCGTTCCCAAATAGCGTAAGAATATGGTATATCAAGGTTGTGGACCCTATAGGGGTCACAATTTTTATCCGATTTTGTTGAAACTTGAAATGTAAGTTTATAACCCAAAGATCTCGGTTCTTTCGACATTCGTGCATATCGGACCGTAACTTCCTGAATTATGGCCCCTGATTGTACGAAAAATCACGTTTTTAGCTTGTGGACCCTATAGAAGTCATAATTTTTATCCGATTTAAAAAATCGTTCTATTATATCACCGTTACACCCTAAGGGTGACTGGGTTCGAATTTCGTGAAAATCGGCCCAAAATTGACAGACAAAATGGCCGCCATTCGTTCCCAAATAGCGTAAGAATATGGTATATCAAGGTTGTGGACCCTATAGGGGTCACAATTTTTATCCGATTTTGTTGAAACTTGAAATGTAAGTTTATAACCCAAAGATCTCGGTTCCTTTCGATATTCGTGCATATCGGACAGTAACTTCCTGAATTATGACCCCTGATTGTACGAAAAATCACGTTTTTAGCTTGTGGACCCTATAGAAGTCATAATTTTTACCCGATTTAAAAAAAACGTATTACTATATCACCGTTACACCCTAGGGACGACTGAATTCGAATTTCGTGAAAATCGGCCCAAAATTGACAGACAAAATGGCCGCCGTTCGTTCTCAAATAGCTTAGGAAAATGGTATATCAAGGTTGTGGACCCTATAGAGGTCACAATTTTTATCCGATTTTGTTGAAACTTGAAATCCAAATCTATAACCCAAAGATCTCGGT